AATATTCTCCACCAACTAATATTTTAATACCTTTAATCAAAAGTGCCAGTTTTTCAAAGGAGGCTTAAAACAGGAACAGAGATAAGAAACACTGATACAGACACAAACATTGAATAGTGAAGATGTTTTGTTACAAATACATTCAAACTTTGGAAAAACAATCAACTCTAGACTGTCCCTAGTACAATGTAAAAACGCAATATTTAAACAAAGCTGTTTACCACTTAACTGTACAAATTACTTCAAAGAAAAGAGCAATACCCTTTTTGGGTCCTATTCGTTATAAGCTTGGAATAACCATTTTGTGGTCGTGATAGCTTAATCTTCATAGCAGTTCAACCTTGGTATAACTCCATGGATTGGATTTCACACCATATATTTAATTTTATTTCAAAGCATAATACAAAGGGATTGTTCTGTCCTGGGATACACTTGAATATGGCGCCCATTGATTTTAATGATTGCTTGCTGCATCCAAAGACATTTAGCCCATCACTGATGACAATGCAACCACATTTAATGCCTGTTTGGTAGGAGAAAATTCGTGTGTGTAAGTACATGCAATGCCTAGCTACTGAAAATCATACTCCTAGAGTCAAATGGTGCCCCCAGATGCTCCCACTGAAATTAATAGGATTTGCATATTGATAACTGAGGGCAGAATGTAGGCCATATTTTAACCTATTTCTTAAATACAAAAATGCTATATTAATATAATATGATTGCACATGCAAGCCTTATAAAGTCAAAAATGTGAAAGCTAAGGTTTAATATGAAACCTCTGTATCCCATTGTGATGCAGGCTTAAATTATGTAATCACATCCTATTTCTCTAATACTAGAATACTAGAACACAATCTTTTTCTATGAACTTAAATTCACAAGTATGTCCAAGATAAAATACAATCACAAATATAGAGGTTTTACAGTAACTCCTCACTTAAAGTCGTCCCGGCTAACATTGTTTCGCTGTTATGTTGCTGATCAATTAGGGAACATGCTCGTTTAAAGTTGTGCAATGCTCCCTTCTAACGTTTGGCAGACGCCTGCTTTGTCCAGTGCTTGCAGGAAGAGCAGCCCGTTGCAGCTAGCTGGTGGGGGCTTGGAACCAAGGTGGACCGGCAGCCCCCCTATCAGCTCCCCACTCCCCTAAGTTTCCGGTGCGGCAGCCGCCCATCAGGCTATCAATTGACAGTTCAGCTGTCCCTCCCCCCACTGCCATGTGCTGCTCCTGCCCTCTGCCTTGGAGCTGCTCCCAGAGACTCCTGCTTGCTGTGCAGGGAGAGAAGGAGGGGGGGGTTAATGTCAGGGTGTCCCGCTCCCCCCTGCTCCTGCACCCCAAATAGAGCAGGATGGGGACACGGACGGAGAGAGACAGAGAGAGCTTGGGGCAGTAGCTGCTGCCTCAACTTCCTGATCCACTTAAAAAGACAATGCACTTAAGAGTGGGTCAGCTTACTTAAAGGGGCAGTGTGCATCTCTCTCTCTCTCCCACACACAAGGTGTGTGTCTGTCTCTGTCTGCTATGCTGTCTCCCCTCCCTCCTGTTCGTGCTGCCTTGATGAGAGGCTACATTAACAACGTGTTAACCCTTGAGGGCTCAGCCGAGTGCCAGTTCATCATTTAGCAGCAAGGCATTCCCTGGGAAATATCCCTCCTCCTTCCACCCTCTAACTTCACCACCTCAACCAAGCTTCACAATCATCATAGCTGTGAACAGTATTAAATTGTTTGTTTAAAACATATACTGTGTGTATATCTATATAATATATATTTTTTTGTCTGGTGAAAAAAATTTCTCTGGAACCTAACCCCTCCTATTTACATTAATTCGTATGGGGAAATTGGATTTGCTTAACATTGTTTCGCTTAAAGTCGCATTTTTCAGGAACATAACTACAACGTTAAGCGAGGCGTTACTGTATGTATGTGCAAAATGGCAGAGGCAATGATGCACAGTCAATCTTAACTTTCACATGTCCTGATCCGAGTGCTTAATTGTGCAACCTTCATGTTGAATTGACCGTTTTTTGCATTTATTTCCTAGAGTTTCTTAAAAGGAAAAAAAACAGTTTTATAACTAGCAAGCACCAATTAACCAAGGCGAACTAGAGCCTATCAATGTCATTAGCAGCCTGCACATGTGCAGATTTAACAAGCACCAGACTGCCAATGAGGAACTACTGTCTCTTATTGTCAATTGCATTCCTCACCTCTGCATGCACAGGAGATAATCTTATCACTTCAAGAAAATCTTAAAGTAGCATAAGCATGGCCAACCTTCTGGCCAGTACTTCAAGATCCTAGCTCTGCTCCCAAGTTGTGTAGTTTGGAATCTTATTTGCAGAATAAACAAATCTAAAGTTTTAGATCTTCTTAAACTATTTACAGTAAACTCATCTAAGGCCACAAGCCTTGTTAAGCCTTATATTGTCATTTTCAACTGCACAAATCATTCCAAGGAATAGAATTTGAGGGAGCACCTAGAGCCTGGAGGGCTGGCCAGGGGTGGGAGTGTGCAGGTTAAGAGGCAGAAGTCAGGAAAATGTATTCTTACATGCTTTCATAGTTCAGAAAACCATTGAAAAGATTTTGCTTTAATTTTATTGAAGAATTCACCTTTGGGCAGAGAACCAAGTCCGGAAAACGTCAGCCCAAAAGAGAATGTTTCAGAAACCTAAAACCAGGAACTAACAATGGAAAGTGTTCTGTGATCTCAGCTACAGCTGTCATTACCTGCTAGACTGATATAACAATTAAAGAAGCATTAAAGACATTACATTTAAAGAAAGAAACATTTTGCTTAATACTAGGAAATTCTTCCTTATAGCCTGATCTATTGGACTTTGGAATAGTCAGTCTTCCATAAGAAGATTTCAAAAATCCATTGCTTGAAATATTTAGATTTAGATGGCAGGAAAGAACCCTGCATTGGCAAGCAAAGGGAGTGAATGATCTTCTCCATCTGTAACTTCTTACAACTCTAAATTATTTTTTGTAAGTACTTCTTCATCAGATCATGGAGATAGATTTTAGACATGTCACATATTTGCATACAGGAAAAATAGAAGAAAAAGGGTCACCATTCTAAGAACTTCTCTGGATATTTGTTGGCGTAGACCATCATCAATTTTGAAAACATCAGCGAAGGAGGTTTTCCAATTGCCAGTTAAAATTAAAATAGCTAAGTGTACTTAAACAAGTTAGAGAGAAATACAAAAGATTTGACACACACAGGCTGAAACTACAGAGTTGGTCAAAATTTTCAGAGATTCAATTTTTGATGAAATCTTTATGTTGCACTGAAAATTTCAATTAAAAATCCCACAAAAATATTTGGACAAAATTTTCACAACTTCCCCCCCTCCCCTGAATTTTTCAACCAATTCTGATTAAACAGAAAGCTTTGTTGAAAAACTAAGATGATGAGAAATCAAAAGAGTCTAACTTGTTAGTGGTTACACCTGTGAATTCACAAATAAAGTACCAAAAAAAAAATTCTGAAGCAAAAAATGCAATACAGTGCTCTGTTTCAACTGTATGGGCCACACTCATGACCATGCTGCAGTGCAAAGGGGATGGTGGATCCAGTAAGTGAAGGCTCTGGGTGCAGGCTTGGGCAAAAAAGGAGGCATGGCTGAAACTTCCCTCCATCCATAACCATCAGCCCAGGTCCCAGAGACTGCTGGGAGCCTTGAGGCTTGAGGTTGTGCTCAGGACCGGGCTGACATATGCTGGTCCACAGGATCAGGGAGTTTTCAAGCACAGAGAATCTGAGCCAAAATATTAATAACAAAAATAGTCAACATTGGCGTATGTTGCAAATCAGACCGAATACTGACTGAAAATAAGTGAAATCAATTTCTATCAGTCTTCAGGATTGACTTCTTCATGTGAAAGAGACAGTGAATCTGAAAGTATCCAGCCCTTGAACCAGAGGGATGAGAATACACATAAATATGAAACACACATTGTTCATTGCAAGGCCTACAAAGAAAAACAGATTTTTTTGTAACGTGCAACAGTAACCTAAATTCTACCATTTCTAATTTTTCCAACTGGTCAGATGTGCGACATTAGTCAAAATATGCAATAAACCAGGCTTTAAAAAAAAAAATCTACTACAGCTATGAAAACAAAGGTAAGACTGGCAACATTATTTTTAGAAACTTAGGCCATACTTTTCAAAGCTGGGTGCCTAACGTTAGACTCCTAAATAAAAGTGGTGAGAAGAACCAGTGGAAGAATCTTGAAGAACTGATCACCCACAAATCCTATCAAAGAGATACAGGTATTCAGCACTCTTGAAAATCAGACGGCTTTTAGTTACATGCCTAAATAGAGATCTATAGGAACCTAAGCAGTTGGGAATCTTTTGTTAGGATTTTTTTTTGTGTGTGTGTGTGGATTCATCATTGTATAATCTGAGGAGGTGTCGCAATGTTGTAGTAGGAGAGACAAAAAAAAATTTTTACAAATATTTTTCAGTTTTTCCATAGGACATGAAAGTTCTGACCAAAACTGAATTTAAAAAGGCACTTTTGTCTATTTCTTAGACACCTTGTTGGAAAATGTACAGTTCTCCATGAACACCATGTTAAGGATGAACTTAAACGTAACATTTTCTCATCAATAAGGCAGACAAGAGACTCAACACAACAAGTCAATACACGAAGTTATGAAAAAAGTGGCTTCTCTTGAGATAAGCTTGGCACAGCTTTTGCATCTAGAAGTACCCCTTTATCTCACCTAATCAATTGACTGCCTACAGACAATCAGTTTCCTTGTTCAAGTAATGTGCAGAGTGTATACACGCTTCCACCACCAAATGAAGAATTCAGATAACTGGTTAAAGTCTACTATAGTGTCTGGTCACCAGTTTTTTCTTTTTAATACTTCAGACTCTTTGAAAGAATTTTCAGTAAATGATCAACAAACTTCATGATGTGCATGTCCATGTTTTCCTACCATCTTCTATAATCCGAAGGGGGACAGAGACTTTGTTCAAACTGAAACGTTCTTCTTATAGCGTCATGTTAGAGCCCATAAAGTTTATCCCTCTGAATCACATTGGGCACATGGAAAGCGGCATCATAACAACATAATTGTTATGACTGATGCAAGCACCGGAATGCTAATTGTCCTCCTGCTGCCATCTGATTTCCTCTGAGCATGCATTACTGAAAACACTGCATTTGTGTGATTGGTTGGTATTTCTACATTGCAGATCATCCCTTCACAGCAAGAAACGCATTCCTGTTAATAAAAAGGAGATTGCTAGGCAGGAGTGACTGCAACAGAAGTTTATAGAGTATATGCTTTCAATTGCAAGGGTTATTACTAGGGCTGTCAAGCAATTAAAAAAATTAATTGCAATTAATCGTGATTAATCATGCTGTTAAATAATAATAGAATACAATTTATTTAAATATTTTTGGATGTTTTCTACATTTTCAAATATATTGATTTCATTTACAACACAGAATACAAAGTGTACAGTGCTCAATTTATATTTATTTTTGTTTACAAATATTTTCACTGTAAAAAACAAAATAAATAGTATTTTTCAATTCCCCCATTGCAACTTTGTATTCTGTGTTGTAATTGAAATCAATATATTTGAAAATGTAGAAAAACATCCAAAAATATTTAAATAAATTTCACTTGGTATTCTATTGCTTACAGTGTGATTAAAACTGTGATTAACCGCGATTACTTTTTTTATTCATGATTAATTTTTTTTGAGATAATCGCGTGAGTTAACTGCGATTAATCAACAGCCCTAGTTATTACTAAAAAATAAGCTAATCACCATTGCTGGGCAGGAAACTGTTTTCCTGTCCCACAAGAGTTTAAGGTTTTGCAATTTTTTTCCCCACCCTGAATCTTGACAAAAAGTCAAAGTCTCAAAAAAAAATTTTGAACCTAAAATCCAATCAAAATGTTTCATTTAGATTGACCTTTTTAAAAATAAAACAATAAATTAACTAGTATTTTGAAATGAAAAGTCCTTTCAACCATTTCCCCCCCAAAAAATTAGGAAATCAGATTTGTTGAAACGGACCCTTTCCCACAAATAGTTCGTTTTCACAAAATCAATGTTTAGCCAAAAACAAACAAAACAAAACAAAAACATTTTGCCAGGAAATTCCCAACCAGCAATATTAATTACTTCCGTCTGGTAGCCTGTGATCTGAGTTGGCCTATCAGTTACGGCTGCAAAATCATGCACGGCAGTGTTCTCACAGCTCATTATCATGCATTGTAATTAATGGACTCCTGTTACCATGATCTGATGATAGTTAATGGTTAGCTATGTCTGACAGATTTCTCAACATATAAGAAAGTATTAAGCACAAACATGCTTTTGAATGTTTTCTTGTCACACATTTTTTAATGAAAATAGACTATGATCATGTTTAATTTCCCTCATAAGCTTTTATACAGCATAATCTCGTATTTTGATCTTTACATTTGCATCTTCTGTCAAATTTCCAGTGCTAGAGAACAACTGTTAATGTTCATCATCTTCTTCACTAGTAGTTTATTTGGGGAAACATTGAAACTGATGTTCCTTACTTGAGCAGTTGCAGAGCGTACCCATTTCCACACTGCAGTTTGCACTGTATGCAAAGGAACAATAGTATATTTTACAAGATAAAATGCAGCATAAGACAGGCTGGAGCTCCTAAAGGCCATATATTTCCTTCAATCCATCAACACTCATTGACATCAACAGGAGACTGTGCTCAGATCAAATGCAACATATATATGTCCTTTCATATTTAACATACAGATTGTCTGCTATCTTCAATATATCTGAAATCTTACACACTAAGATCATTCAAATCCTGCTAAAAGATTTTACCAAGACACTGATTTCTAAAATATCCTTCCAGTTCTGTATTATATAGGATATAAAACATTCTAACCATTTTACCTAGTGTGACAAAGTTCCTCTGCCTTGGTGGGTCCTGTGCTTTCTGGTGGATTTGCTCGCCTCAGAGATTCACAGCAGCCTTCAGTTTGGCCGCTTTTGCTAGAGAGACTCAAACCTGCCGTTCACTCAGCTAACCTCATCGCTGGCCAGCATGGGGGAAATGGAGAACAATCTTCGCAGTCTCTGTTGTCCCACCTAGTGGGTCGGGGACAGGTCAGATCCCTTTCCAAATTAGACCTTCCCCTCTGGTGTGTCTCACAGACCAGGTCAACTCCTCCTGTGTCAGAGAGGGAGTTGGAGGGATGGGAGGAACCCGGGCCCACACTCTACACTGGGTTCCAGCCCAGGGCCCTGTGGATAGCAGCTGTCTACAATGTCTCCTGTATTAGCTGCGTGACAGCTACAACTCCCTGGGCTACTTCCCCATGGCCTCCCCCCAGCACCTTCTTTATCCTCACCGCAGGACCTTCCTCCTGAAGCCTGATAACGCTTGTACTCCTCAGTCCTCCAGCAGCACGCCTTCTCACTTCCTGCTCCTTGCACGCCCCCCACTAACTGATGGGAAATCCTTTTTAAACCAGGTGTCCTGATTAGCCTGCCTGCCATAATTGATTCTAGTAAGTTCTTAATTGGCTCCAGGTGTTTTAATTAGCTTGCCTGTCTTAATTGGTTCTAGCAGGTTCCTGATTGCTCTAGGGCAGCCCCTGCTCTGGTCACTCAGGGAACAGAAAACTATTCATCCAGTGGCCAGTATATTTGCCTTCTACCAGACTCCTTCACCCAACTGGTGTGGGTCTGTCACACTAGAAAGTTTGTTATACTTCCTTTTCAAAAGCAAGAGTTATAGCAACGGTTGTTTATGTCAGTCAGTATGTATAACACACTAGTACACAACTCTTCAACATTATACTGTACTCTATATTTTTAAAAATAAAGATATTCATTTTTACAGTGAATTGGACTAGAAATCAATGGTTTATACCACAAATTGTAATTTAACAATTTGTAATTTACCAGATGCTAAAATTAGGTCATAACTGAAATGGGACAAAAGCAATGTGGTAATAAGAATGACATGGTGTTAAAGTCTGGTATCTTGTTAATCAGACATATCAACAAACGTTGAGGTAATTTTTTTCCCACTTACAAATGGTTGTGACCAAAATCACCTCTCTATTCACACCCTACACATTATTGTATTAATCTATGTGCAAAATATACCTTGTGAGGTATCATTTAAAAACTAATAAACAGATCAATATTCTTGTGTAAAACATGAATATTAACAGTTATGAACATAAGCTGAAATTATGACTACAGTGTGTATACCAGACAAGTCTGTGGAGGGGGTAAACTGGTTTCTCAAAGACAAATGACAAGCTGATGCCTTTAGCCAGATGCCAAAGTTGATTGGCAATCCCTGGTCAAGTGGCCATTCTTTGGCAGTGAAGGGGGGGCAGGAACAGATTGATCTGCAATTTAGCAAACAACAACATGGAACCTCTTTCACCACAAGAGTCCATGTCTCCGTTCTCATGGCTGGAATGAACTTTATCTAGGTGGAACCCTCAGGAAAACGTATTTCAAAGGGTGACTGGACTATAAAAGTGAGGGGCAAAAACACCCCAAATTCTCTTTCTCTTTCTCCTAAGATGACAAAAGAACCAGCCCCTTGACTTTGGGGGGAAATCCTGACATGAGAATTTGGTTAGTCCTGTTGCTGGAAACATGTGGTAAGGATTTTACCTTGAACCAAGTCTAGCTTGTTAAGTCTTAGCTACTAGAAAGCATTCTTTTGTTTCTCTTGTAACCATTTCTGACTAATAGATTATACTTGTACTCACTTAAAACCTCTCTCTTTGTAGGTAAATAAACTTGTTTTATTTTTATCTAAAATAATCCAGTGTGTGTTTAAACTGAGTGTTTGGTAACTCCAGTTAAAGTAGCAAACTGTTGGATATTGACCCTTTTACAGGGGCAATGGACCTTTGATATCTGAACTGTCCAGAAGAGGGCTGGACAGTGCAGAACACATTTATGGGAATGTTTAGGACTGGGAGCATGTCTGAGTCACCCTGCAAGTAGTAACCGAGGCTGGCAGAAGCCAGAGTGTGACTGAAGTGTTGCTGATAGGCTGCTGGAGTCAGAGTTGCTGGACCATGGCTGTAGCTGTACACAGACACTCCGGGTGTGACCTGCATGCTGTTAGGCCATTTGTGAGTGGCTCTGGTTGGAGCTACAATGGCAAAGCATTGAGAGGCTTCCAAGGTTGTGGAGCAGGCAGTGACACAGCCCCTCATTAGTCTGGATTTCACCCCAGAATGTGACAATGGTATATAGCTTTTGTTTCAGTCCCTTGTGGTTTGTAAGACGTGGGTCCTTTTAACTTACACCAGCCCCTTAACGTAGCAGTGCTTTTTTGACACTTCTGCCCAAAGAAATATAGCAAGTTCCAAGCCTAAATCCAGTGTTGTTTTGTTTCCATGACTTACACTGGGGAAATTATCCTTCTGACTGAATAAAGCTGAACATGGCTGCCTCTAGCCAAAGAGGTCACTATAGAGCTACAAGAGATGCATCCTCTCCAAAGGGAAACTACTTCTTTTATGAGCAAGCCAGCCAATTGACACCTAGAAAAGGAATGGCCAAGTTTGAATTGGAACTCTGATCCTCTACAAGGTAGCTTGATGTTATAATCACCATAATAAATGGTGTTATTGAGCTAAGTTTGACTCAAGAATTTGACCCTCCCTCGCAAATACAGCTTAACTTCTTCATAGAAAAATAGGAAGAGGTGCTAATCTGGCTCCTGTTCTAGAACTTTGACTTCCATTACTAAAACATTTTCTCGAACCCAGATCTACAGGGTTTACAGGAGAAGCCACACTTCAACTTGGCAGCCTGCTGACAACTGCTGACGCAGGACGCCCAGCCCCAGTTTGAGGCTCTACCCTTGACATGCCAGGGTAGCCAACCTACTTAAACCAGCAACAGGAAGCTGTCCAAATGCTTGGGATCCACCATGCTCTGTACTGTGTACCTTGTGCCTCCTGTTCCTGCTCCCCTGACTTGACTTCCCGGTGCCCTGACCTGGCTTGGCTCATGGCATCTGACTTGTGGTTCTGATCTCCAGTTTGTATTATGCCTCTGATCTCCCAGTATCTTGACCCAGCTGACCCTTGGCTCCTGACCGTGAACCCCAGCTCTGACTACAAGTTCCGGCTCCCAGGACCCAGCCCTGACAAACATTAGATAGTCTCATTTGGCAGGTGTTATTCACTCCAGCAGTAGTTATTTGAGTAACAAGTGCTGAACAGGACCCTTATTTAGAATGTCTTAAAACAAACATTCTCCATTACAAAAACTGATGCTTACTGTATGGCCTGTCTCTCTGTGGGGGTGACAGCCAACAAAACGGCATTCATCCCTGGTAGCACATTTTTTGGTCACAGATGTACTCCTTCCATGGCTTGTGAAATGATGAACTGTCAAGCAGTACTTTGTATCTAAGAAATAAATCAAAATCAGGTTTATTTTCATGCAGTGTGCTCTCTTTCACATACTTCAAAAGTTTTCACTAAATGACAAGTTACAATAAAGTGCTTGCACTGAGAAAAGTTAGAGATTGTGTGGGGTTTAGAGCAGTAAGATGGCATTATATTCCAAAAAAATTGTCATTTACCAGTCATGATGTATTAGCTAGACCTTAAATTAAATGGGCCATTTGGCCCCTAGACTGCAACTTATGAAGAAGGCCATTGAGATTTGTACTGTGTATCTAACACTTCATCTCTAGCTACCTAGTTTTAGCAGCGGCTCTCCTGGTTCTTCCTTTCCCTCTTGCACTCCCTTCTCATTCTCTTTCCCCTCCATTTAGACTTCTTTACCTTTTTCATTTCACTCTTCCACCCCACCTCGCCCCTACCCCCCAACTCCCCTTCTTCCAACATTTTTCCTCCTTTCCCCTCTCTTTGGGGTACGTTACCTTCCCTAGTTTCAGTGACCCTGCTATTCTCTCTTCCAAGTGTGATCTTCAGGTCTTATTGCCAAATGTTTCTGCACTACCAATGGATGCACTAACATGACACTTTCCATTTTGAGAGTTCACATACAACACATCTGAAACCACATGCAGCAATGATGTATGGCTACAGCTTAGCATAAACCTTGCATTAGGCCTTTTATATAGCTGTCTTTTATAAAGTCATCCCTAAATAACAAATCTGCACTAAATATTAGAAGTAATTGTTTCAGCTCCTATGTTAACTTTTCAAAAGACACTAGGACTGATGGTAGATTTGGTAGCACATTTAGCTTTGACTGCGGGACTGAATTAAGAAATGGTCTTTACCCCTGATCAGCTGACTCTTGGAGACAGTACTAAGGTAATAGCTGGCTTTGGAGAGGGGAATATCATTTGACAGTGCAAACTGTTTTCCCACCATGTATCAGTGTTGGATAAGTTAATCGCTAAGTTCAGAGGAAATGCAAACAAGACCAACATTACATTAGAAGTATAAAGACAACCTAATAAAACTATTTGTTTCTTCACAAGCACAAGGAAAACAGGAAAAAGGGATTGGAAAACAGGAATCCAAAGTGTGTTTATAGAGATTTATGATACATATTAGATTAATCTGGCATAAAACTACAAAGAAGGAGGATAACATAAGAATGGCCAAACTGGGTCAAGACCAATAGTCCATCTAGCCCAGTATCTTGTCTTCCGATAGTGGCCAGTGCCAGATACTTCAGAGGGAATGAACAGAACAGACAATTTTCGAGTGATCCATCCCATCACCAGACACAGCTTCTGGCAGTCAGACGTTTAGGGATACCCAAGGCATGTGGTTATGGCCGTGACCATTTTGGCTAATAGTCAATGATGGGCCTATCCTCCACAAACTCACCTAATACTTTTTTGAACACAGTTATACTTTTGCCCTTCAAAAAATCCCCTGGCAACGAGTTCTGCAGGTTGACTGCGGGTTGTGAAGTACTTCCTCGTGTTTGTTTCAAACCTGCTGCCTATTAATTTAATTGGGCAACCCCTGGTTCTTGTGTTAAGTGAAGGGGTAAATAACACTTCGCTATTCACTTTCTCCACGCCAGTCATGATTTTATAAACCTCTCTCTTATCCCCCCTTAGTTATTTCTTTTCCAAGCTGAGCAGTCCCAGTCTTTTTAATCTCTCCTTGTATGGAAGCTGTTCCATACCCCTAATCATTTTTGTTGGTCTGCTCTGTACCTTTTCCAATTCTAATACAGCTTTTTTGAGATGTGACAACCAGAACCGTATGCAGTATTCAAGGTTTGGGCATATTGTGGATTTATATATTGGCATTATGATATTTTCTGTCTTCATATCTATCCCTTTCCAAATGGTTCCTAACATTCTGTTTTGACTGCTGCTGCACATTGAGTGAATATTTTCAGAGAACTAGCCATGATGACTCCAAGATCTCTTTCTTGAGTGGCAACAGCTAATTCAGCCCCCATCACTTTTATGTACAGTTGCAGAGGTGTTGTAACAATTTGTATAGTGGGGGTGCTGAGAGCCATTGAACCAAACTGTAAACCCTGTATATGATGGAAACCACTTCAAGCTAGGGGATGCGGCAGCACCCCTAGTTTCAGCATCCATGTATAGTTGGATTGTTTTTTCTAGTCTGTATTACTTAGCACTTATTAACATTAGCAAAGAGTCCTGTGGCACCTTATAGACTAACAGACGTATAGGAGCATGAGCTTTCGTGGGTGAATACCCACTTCTTCGGATGTGGGTTGTGACCCACAGTTTGAAAACCGCTACTCTAGTGAGCAGCTTCTTTATTCTATAAAAAGATGCTTTACACAGTACTCATTCAAATACATACTACACTAGAACCTCAGAGTTATGAACACTAGAGTTACGAACTGACTGGTCAACCACACACCTCACTGGAAACCAGAGTATGCAATCAGATAGCAACAGAGACAAAAAGCTAAAAAAAAAAAAAAAATGTAAATACAGTACTGTGTTAAACATAAACTATGAAAAAAATAAAGGGAAAGCAGCATTTTTCTTCTGCATAGTAAAGTTTGAAAGCTGTATTAAGTCAATGTTCAGTTGTAAAACTTCTGAAAGAACCACCATAATGTTTTGTTCAGAGTTACGGACATGTCAGAGTTACGAACAACTTCCATTCCTCCTATGTTCATAACTCTGAGGTTCTACTGTAAGTCTAACATACAAGGTCTTCAACATGATTTGTAGTATTGCTGAGCATATTCAAATGGCTGGAATATCCATCTCAAGAGAAATCATAAGACTCATTATTACTAAATATATCCCCAGGGCATCAGTGTGATGGTATGTTAATCCTAGATAACTAGCTGTCTGAGAGATGGTTGAATCAGGGGAAAAACAAAATTAAATACCTTAAAGAATCTCCCTAAGACAGGCACACTTACTTTCAGGACACCATTTATCTTCAGCCCATCTGTTACAGTTGTAATTGTCGACTGCATTTGCACAGGTGAAACACTTAAAGCTGTTTGGAAATGGAGTGGCTTTAAAAATATAATAAGTATGTTAAGTTTGCAAATATCAAAAATTAAAATGTCAAACAAAAAGTGCTTGCTTTTACATTTATTAGACAAAAATACTTATTTATAAATATTAGCATATATATATACACACACATTCACACATTTATACATGTATAGAAGAATAGCATACACAGTTCATGTCAATCTATTGGGTAAATAAGAACTATTTCATACCTTACCATAGAAGCTTTTACTTCTCGTACTAACATCATCATGTCTTAACTTTAAAACATTTCCTGGCCTTTTCATTCTCTCTCACAATCAAAACGCTGTTTAAATGGAGAGAGAGTGTATCATTGCACATTACATATACAGTATTATAACATAGAAGATACACATATCTTCTCTATGTATGCACACATGTACACTGTCGCACAATCTACATTTAATCAGCTTTTGCTTCCCTAGATGTGGCAGATACTGCTTTGAAACCAGCTCCAAGTCACTGCCCCCAACTCTGAGCAAGAAGTTGCCAATTAGGGATTAGTGAGTTTGATTTCAAATTCTGTTTTTATAACATTTTATATACACACATACAGGAGTTTTAAAGTAGCTTGGCATCAAACACCCCACCTGCTAACCATCACTACTTTTCCACTTTAATCCTTTATATCACAGAGACTGTTATCCAGTTGGGTGCACAGGGAGAGTAATGTGAGTGCAAGGTAAGAAGCAGACATGTGATGCTATTACTAACAGCTGATTTCCCAGCTACTGCAGTGGTTTTAACTTCATACTAACTTTCCTACTTTCATTTAGTGATAACTTTAAAAGTGTTCAATACACCTACCTCCCTACCCCACCCACCAAAAAAGCAGTACAACAAACAGAAACAGCTAGTCCATTGCAAACATTTATATTGTACAAAATGAAGTCATTTTGAGACATAAAACTGCAATAAAAGCATCCAAAATCTGAAACGGTTTATTATCAAAGTACAAATCAAAGAGAACAGTTCTCTCCCTCTCTGTTCAACTCCATTCAGACTGTATCTCAAATGTTAGGAATGATACTGAGTAACCATAGGAGGCACCGAATGAATGTTTTGTTTTAAACTCTAGAGGAGATCCCAAACGTCTAAGAGACAGCCACTTTATGTTTAAGAGTCAGCCCTGAAAACAAGGGATAACAATGGAAAAGCTGATGGCTGAAACATTAACCTATGTTCTCAAATACAAGAAAGCTGCAACTGGCTACTTACGGTCTAATGGAGGTCTCACATTATAGAAGTTGATGTTCTTGGCTAGAGCCCAATTCCCTGAGAGGATGAAGATCTGAAGAGAAGCTACAGCCAACATGTGAGAGAATAATAGCATGCTGACTATTACTGAACAGGGAAATCTAAAATACTTGTGCCTAGAAAAGAAGAAACATACATTATGATGTACCAGAGGAACCATAAAGAACTGAGAATGTGGAGCATTGGACTTCCTGTAAACTTGATTTGAAACCTTGACAGTTCAGTGACTGGATCTGGACTGCTCCTGCCTGTAAGCATACATCACTAACCATTACGAGCCATTCAAAGCTGAGCAGCTGCTGCCTTCTGCTGGTTAGCATTTTGTACAGGACAGCTACATTTCTACACTCAGTACTGTAGTAATTTTGGTATGCTATGTTATTCAGCTACATGATGAGTTCCCCCAGGCAATATCAGTCTTAGAAACGGCTTATAAGGGTATGTCTACACTGTGATACAAAACCTGAGGCACCGAGTCTCAGACCCCACGTCAGCTGACGGGCTCATGGGCGCTCAGGCTGCAAGTCTAAAAGTAGCAGTGAAGACATTCAGGCTTGGGCTGGAACCCAGGCCCAAGGATATGTCTACAAGGGGATAAAAGCCCCACAGCATGGCTGCACCTGGCTCAGGTCAGCTGACTCAGTCTCACAGGGCTAAAAATTGCTGTGTAGATGTTCAGCAATTTTTCAGCCCCATGAGCCTGAGTCAGCTGACCCAGGCCAGCCGTGGGTTTTTTATTCCCGTGTAGACAGACCCTGATACCCTCCCCCTCGTGGGGTCTCAGAGCCAGGCTCTAGCCTGAGCCTGAACATCTACACTGCTATTTCGTAACCCCACAGCCCGAGCCCAAGTCTGCTGACCCAGGCCAGTCATGGCTGTGCCACAGGGTCTTTTATTGCAGTGAAGAACTACCCTTAGTGTTCATGGAAAAATACTTTCGTATCTTGCTTATAACACGAGTTTGACAAAATGAAAATATTTGTAGACCAGGCAAAATGCAATCTCAGATGTCGTTTTTTACATCAGCAATGTAAAATCTCAACTCAAAGGGCCAGATCCCAGCTGGCATAAATTGGTGTAGCACAACTGACATCAATGAGTTATGCCAATATACAGCAGTGCAGAAACTGGTCTCAATTGTTGGTCCTTGTTTTTCATAAGCACACTTCTGACTGGCATGGTATTTAAATACATAGGTTTTTACAATTTAATTTATCCTTAAAAAAATGTATTCCTCGAAGAAAAGCTGAAGCAAGCTGTCGTCATAACCACAAATTAGAGGGAGAACCATTAATAGCATTCTGTCATTCCTTTATCCTGGTGCACTTGCAGTAAAGAGTCCAATCATCATATCAGCCCCACTGAACCTCTCTTTTGTACACATTCCGCTTTGTGTTCATACTTTTCAAGCAACTGCATGCACAGGTGACAGGTCTTCAGTGTGAAACTCTATTTGTCTCCTGAGCTTGTGCACGTAAATTCTAGCACTGGTTGAAATCATTTCACAACTCAACGTTTTTCTTTGAAAAACAGGGACACATTTTTTGCAGACATTTTCACAAACAATTCATGCTACTTTTCTTTTTTTAGCCAGTTCTAGTAAATTCTATCCCCTGCATGCTCAGGCATTAAGTCCTCTCCCCTGTGTGTGTTAGTGCAGGGGAAATATGTGTGCGGGCATTTAGGTGTGCATTATGGAGGAAATCCTGTGCCCCTCTGCATGGATGTGGAGGACCCCAGATTCAGTGGAATGGTGACATTCTGCATGGAGAAGGGTAGGGTTGGGATGGACATTGGGCAGGCTTTAAGGGCCCACTGCACACAAGAGGGTGGCAGACCTTTGAAGACAGAGCAGGGATGGGCAAGGAGAGCTGATTCATGAATCCTCCAGTCAATCCCAGTCCATGGGGTGGGGGGAGTCAAAGTGCCATCAAGTCAACTCCAGGCCAGTAGCTGCACGAACTGCATGTGTGGCACACTGCGGGGAAAGGGAGAGGGGCCTGAGACTTTCTTCCTGCTCCTGTGCTTCGGAGAAGAACTACTTCAAACAGACTCTTGGCCTGCAACCAATCAGTAGCAGAAGGTTTTGTTTTGTGCACTAGGCCTTACTAACTTTTGTGAACAAAGATTTTTTTAAATTTATGTTTATTTTTAGGATATTTTAACAGATATTTGAGAAACTGTTTTTGCACCACACTTACAGTGTATCTCCAGGACTGTTTCCTGCGGATGCCCCAGGTCTTCCTAGTATTAGAGCCCAAATTGTTCACAAACAGGTCAAGAAAAGCATCTGAAAGAACCAAACAGTGGCTTTGTGATCATTATTCGGTACACAGGGAAAGAGTCAGCTCAGACATAATATGCCTTTAATATTATTGGTAATAAAAGAAAAGAACACATGTATCTAGGCCAATAACATATATGCCATAAAAGATTTGAACTATAGATTCATAGATTCATAGATTTACAAATACAGAGGCCAGTCCCCACTCACACAACATACCATATGGGTCACTCTGGTTGCACAAAGGGAACTAAGCTGCCCTAAATGGGCAGGGTGGGATTCTGCAGCAGTAGAGATCGTTCACACATACAGCATCCCCTTCGCCCTCCCTGCTGCATATACCCTAGTATGCCAGGGACATATAAGGGGAAGGACATGGATTGCCACTGGTGCACCCCTAAAATTATGTCTGCCCTGAGGCTGCTCTAACTTGCGCCAGGACAGGGGTGACAAAGTTGCCTTTATGCCTCCACCTCAATCCCTGTACCCCTTAGACAGGCAGCATGACATATTTAAACTCAGATCGATTTTGAATGTTTGCATCAAACCCATAAGGGCTAAACACTTAATTAGGCCCTGAATCCCAGCATGATGCTTTGAACATTTTGGTGGCACTGCCCCAACTCAGTTGTTTTTTTGCTCCGAATGCAAACAATTAATCTTCCATTCTTTCATTAAATAGCCCATGCTATGCTCTTCAAATATCACAGATTAGTTGCTTTTACCTAGTCAGGACAATTTTAATCAATCTTGACTCTAAATATACTTCTGACAGCTGAGCTAGCAAGCCTATTGTTTTATGCTTGCTCTGTGAAGGACTGAACCATTTCAACGCACAGCAGTAGTGAGGTTTATCTGCCTCATATACATTTCCTTTAGTTTGTATTGGCAAATTGGGAAACATTTGCCTTTCTATAAAGAAAGATCTACAAAACCAGTGAACTTTATCAAATACACCTGGATAGCACATAGAAGCACAATTACACCTGTGCCGGTGTTCTACAAATTCAAGATTCCCCCACCCTATCCCAGTTCCCATTGCTCAAATCACATACCCTGTGGCAAATGGAAAATTTTAGGGAATACAAATACAGAAGGGCGGATTCTCATCCATGCACAGGCAGGGACTTTTCCCCACGCCACTCCAAACACAGGGCCTCAGGATCTCCCTCCTTCACCCAAAACTCTTCTCCCTTTCTCCCCTCCCCCCGCCCTGCCCCGCCCTTCCCCTAGGACTCTCTCTCTGCAATGAACCTTCATGAGAAGCACTGCTCAGCAGCCAGCATCCCCTGCTGGGACTCAAGAATATAGCTCCACATACCAGGAATCCAGCAGGCAGGCAGGGCCCTCTCCCCACAACACCCTTCACGGGCCGAGGTGGACAGGCATGCGGAAGCAGAGTGGCTCAAAAATAGATTTGGGAGGTGAGAGGGTGAGGGCTGACTCTGCTCTAGCCCTGGTCACCTGCTGCCTATGACAAAGGGTGATAGACATATGTGGGCACTGGAATACTGGCAATCCAATGCACACACTATAGCCCCACTCCTGCAAACACCTATGGATGTGAATAATATTAGAAATGGGAGTATTCCCACTAAAGCATTTGCTGGAGTGAGGCCTACATTTGTATACACATACACACCCCATGAGTAGGGTTGCTAACCCTCCAGGATTGTCCTGGGGTCTCCAGAAATTAAAGATTAATCTTTATTAAAGATTATGTCATGTGATGAAACCTCCAGAAATATGTCCAACCAAAACTGGCAACCCTACCCATGAGAAAAAGTGATAGCCATTTAACGGGATGATTTATCATGTACCTTTCACTGCCTAACCTGCTCTCTGCCCATTGAGCTGTGTCCATGAAAATTATTCTTAAAATTGCAAAGCTCAGATCACCTTTGAATCGCCTTTTCCCTTCTTCCTTCCTTCCCTCCCTCTTTTAAAAATAGAACTTGCCATGAGAACGTTTCCTCCTCCGCTCTGCAAATGTTGAATTTTGTCAAAGTATTACACCTGCCGAAGGGCAGGGATAGGCAAGCAATTCAATCCTGGACCTATAATAGCTATTATGTAGAACAATGTAATGACTTTAAAATCTGCATCTCCCAACACTGGGAGCTTATACCAGTCAGGAAGAGGAGTTTACTTATCTGTAACTGGAGATATGTGGTCCCTATCTGTGTTCCACTGAAGGTTTCTGCATGTGCACCATGCATCCGGAGCCAGAGAATTTGAAAGTAGTAGTGTTCGTTGGTTTGCCCATGCACCCTTGTTTTGCCTCATGGTTTTGACTGTGGTGATAAAGGGCGAGGCAGACCAGGCTGCACCTCCACTTCCTTTTTCACTGCAAATTGAACAGATCTACAGCAAAGGGGAAGGAGGGCGGGAAGTGGAATACAGATAGGGACCACACATCTCGAAGAACCTCCAGTTACAGGTAAGTAACCTCCTCTTCTTCTTCGAGTGATGGTCCCTATTGTATTCCACTGTGAGTAATTAACAAGCAGTACCTATTTTGGAGGAGGGTACAAGGAAGAGGATGGAATGGTGGATTGGAGGACAGCCATGCCGAATGAGGCATCCGTCACAGAGTCTTGCATCAAGACATAATGCGTAGTGAAGGTATGTACCGAACTCCACATGGTTGCCCTACATATGTCTGGAAGCAATATATTGTGCAGGGTGGCCGTAGTCGATGCTTGTGCTCTCGTCTAATAGGCTCTCACCCAAGGCATGGAGGCAGTCCTGACAACTGATAGCAAAGTGTAATGCATCACGAAATCCACTTAGAAATCCTCTGTGTGGAGATTGCCTTCCCCTTAATCCTTTCAACTATAGCAACAAACAGTCTAGGGGATTTCCTGATTGGTCTTATTCTCTGCAGGTAAAAGGCCAATGCCCTGTGGACATTGAGAGAGTGAAGGCACCACTCCTCCACTGAGACATGAGGCTTCAGAAAGAAAGCAAGTAAGCGTATGGGTTAGTGGAGATGAAACCGGGATACAATCTTTGGTAGAAACTTGGGGTGCAGATTCAGGGAGACTTTGTCCTTATTGAATACGATGAAAGGAGGAGTCCACCATCATGGCCCGCAGTTACCCTTCTCATGGAAGTAATAGCTACTAGGAAGATGACTTTCATGAAAAGGAGGGACAGGGAGCAGGAAGCCAGTGGCTCGAAGGGCAATTTCATTATCAAGAAAACGAGATTGAGGTCCCACTCAAGAGCAATAGGTTGGACGGGTGGGAAGGTTCTGAGGAGACCCTTTCAAAATCTGGCAGTCAATGGATGCGTAAATATGGAGTGGCCTTCCATGGGGATGGTGGGGGGATGGAGTGGTGGGTACCAAGAGCCGCTATGTGGACCTTGATGGAGTTCAGAGTGAGTCCCAACATCTTCAAGGAGAGGAGGTAGTCTAAACAAAGGGGAATGTCCATGTTTTCAGGGACAAGGCCCCTCTGTTGGGCCCAGGAGGTGAAGCACTTCCCCTTGGCCCAATAGGAATGCCTTGTGGACTCTTTCCTGCTGCTCGAAAGGATGTCTTGTATTCCCAGGAACATTCCCATTCTAGCAAAAATGCCCATCCAAAAACCAAGCTCTGAGGTGAACTGTGTATAGATCGGGATGCCTGATCCTGCCGTGTTGAGTGAGGAGTTTCAGAAAAGCTGGCAGGGGACACAGGGGACAAGTCAACATGCAAAGAAGTGGAGGAAACCAGAATTGGAATGGCCAGAATGGGGCAACCAGAATGACTATGGCCTTCTCCCACCTGATCTTGTGGAGGTCTCGTAGCAGGAGCAGGAGATGGGGAAAGGCGTAATTGATCTGGTCCAACCAGTGAAGGACAAAGGCATCGCCTTGAGAATGGACACTGGTACCCCTCCCCATGGAGCAGTAGATGGGGCACTTGCTGTTGGCATGGGAGGCAAAGAGTCCCCCATTGGCTGAAAATGTCATTGATTGCAGTGTCATGAAGTTCCCATTCATGGTCAGCCATGAACTTCCCGCTGAGAGAGTCTGCAATCACATTCTGAGGCCCTGGAAGATAGGCTGCCGACAACAAGATCTTGTGGGCAATGTACCAGTCCTACAGATAAACCACTTCCGCATAGAGTACAATTGACTTCATGTCCCCTTGTTTGTTGATGTAATAAATGGTGGTGGTGCTGTCAGACATGATGAGAACACGGTGGGAGCAAATGAATGGGAAGAATGCTCAACATGCTCTCCATGTCACCTGAACCTCCAGAATGTTGATGTGCATTCTGGATTCCCGAGGGGTCCAAGTCCCTTGCGTCATGTGCTCGCCCATATGGGTACCCCATCCAGTAAGTGATGCTTCCATTATGATAATCATGTCCAGGGAGGATAAGAGGAAAGGCATCCCAGCACAGACCTGCCCCAGGTCCGTCCACCACTGGATGGAAGAGAGCACTATGGGGGGGACTGTCAACAGAAAGTCCATAGTATGTTGCATGGGTGAATAGACTCTCTGGAGCCACAGCTGAAGATAGCGAAGGAGGAGGTGAGCGAAGGCAGTGATGTACATGCAGGCTGCCATGTGGTGAAAGAGGGATAGGCAAATCCTGATCGGAACAGGACCATGGACCACTTGGGTGACGAGTTCCTGCAGGATCTGGAACCTGTCCCTCAGTAGGTAGGCTTGTGCTGAGACCACATCGATGAAGACCCCTATGAAATCCAGAGACTGTATGGTAACCAAAGTCGATTTTTTGACATTTATACTTACCCCTAAGGAGGAAAGGATTCTTAGTAACATGGAGGTCGAGGCTCGAGCCTCCTCTGTTGAGGACCCCATGACACTGGAGGTGGGCTGCTACAACAGAGAAAACCTTGGTGAAGACCACGGAGCAGTGGTGAGTCCAAATGGTAGAATCCTGTATTGAAAGTGCTGAGGCCATACCGTGAATCTCAAGAACCTTCTATGGATTGAATGGATGTCTAGGTG